ATAGATGGGAATGCACAGGGAAGGGGTCACAGATGGGAATGCACAGGGAAGGGGTCATGTAGATGGGAATGCACAGGGAAAGGGTTTATAGATGGGAATGCATTTGCAAAGGGTTCTGAAGGCCGAATAGGAATTTGACCCACAAACACAGACATCAAGAGCAGTCTACATAGAAGGAGCAGCATCTGTAAAGTAAGATCCTCGAGATTGTCGTGGTCATGGAACAGATGATCACTGAAGCTGGGCTAGCAGTACAGTAGTGTAGTGCTGGTGTGTAGAGAGAATGGGATGCAGGGAAATCAGGCTTGAATCTAGGAAGTCAAACTTGAACCTAACCTTGTGTATGGCATGATTCTAGGAGATCACAAACTTTTCGACAAAGAGGAATAGACTAACATTTAGAATTGTCACAAGACACAAAACCTCTCATACTGCAGAGGAAAAGAGCTTTGGGCTTAAAATCAGATAACTCAAGCGTTTGTTTGTTTATTCATTCTATTCATCAAATCCCTGTGATTTCCCTACAACGATCTAGACTTGGTGGTAAACAAGACAGACAGATATAGATAAGAGAATAATGAACAAAAAGACAATTTTGATGATGCAGTATGACAGGGTTGGGGGCAGGGCACAACCAACTTTGACTTGGGGAGACTTGGGTAGCCAACAGGCATCCCAAGGGAGCCAGCCACATTTCACACTGTCGAAAAATGTCAAGGGACAGCAAAGCATCTTTACTAAGCAAAGCAATGCCCTGGGGACAGGAAGAAGTTAAGTTTGGAGAGCTATGTGGGAATACTGACTGAATAGAGTGTTTACATGATCTGGAAAATGAATTTAGGCTTTGTATGAACTTTGTTCTCCATGTGTTGCTTTCGTGGGAGAGCCAGGGTTTCTCAGAGTTCATTCTTGATGCTCTACAGAGAATGGGTCTTAGGAGGCACCAGGGGTGTCAGGGCAACAAGTGAAAAGGCCCTGTGGTTAGACCGAGAGGTGGCTTGGCCTAGTGCATATCACTAGCGATGAAGACGGGTAGATCGCTATGTGCTGTGTTTTGGAGGGGAAACTAACCAGTTGGAATATGTGGGAGAAAAAGACTCCCAGGGCTGGAGACATCGCTCAGTTGCTTGAGTGTCTGCCTGAGCCCTGGGTCCCAACCCAGTTGAACTCAGTGTGTTGTATGTCTGTAACTGTCCCTAGTGGGAGGTAGAGGCAAGCAGAGGATCCCAAGTTCAAGGTCATCCTTGACTTCCTATCAAGCAGAAGCCAACCTGGGTTGCTTAAGACCCTGTGGTCTGTGGGAGGAGAATGTGTGTGTATTCATGTGTGTATGTGTATCTGTGTATTTTTTTTAAAGTAAACTTGTCAATATAACCAGGCGGTGGCGGCGTATGCCTTTAATCCCAGCACTCGGGAGGCAGAGGCAGGCGGATCTCTGTGAGTTCAAGGTCAGCCTGGTCTACGGAGCAAGTTCCAGGACAGGCTCCAAACTTACACAGAGAAACCCTGTCGGGGGCGGGGGGGTGGATATTTGTTGATTTTTGCCACCCCATTAATGTACACGTGGTGGAGGACAGGAATGGCTTTGTGTTGACACAGGAGAGCTGGACCCAGACCCCTGCCAGGGAGTTCATATGGGAGCTTTCTTGATGTAACAGCTTACTTTGATGTGGGATGTTAGCATGTTATTGTCTCTAGTGAGTTCTTTGGTTTACAGAACTTTCTCTGTGAAGGGCCAGAGAGAAAACATTTAGGACAAGGACAACATGTACCTGGATGGCTTTAATAATACCTTGTTTGTTATAGTCAGACTGTCGGCCTATGGTCTGGACGGGTCACAAAACAATGAATCCTGAGGCCTGGTTTTCATTTACCATTTTCTACAGTGTGGATGCTCTCCCTCACTGAGCTCAGACTACGAGAGAGATCACCAAGTAGGGCTTCTGACTTCTCTGTCTGGGCTGGTCTTTGCTGCGAGCTTCTCTGTGGTATCATTAAGCCGTTGATGAGCTGTGGTTTTTAACTTGATAGGCTTTTTCAAATAAATGCAAATGATTGATTCCTTGCAGGTTCTGCTCTAGCAGGGTGGCAGGGAGTCCTGGGAATCTGTGTGGTCCTGTAAGTAATTAGTAAACATGACCTCACTGCCTTCCTCACAGCTGTGGCCTGTAAGCGCTGGGCACTGGCTGGAGCAGCTCGGCCCAGGCTTTCCTGCCCAGTCTCTTCAGGTGGTGTGACTTTCTCTGGTCTATACTTGGGCGTGATTTTATAATTCCTTTCTCTGGAAAGCCCAGCTGGAGTTAAAAATATTCTTCTCTAAAGGCTTCATTTTATTATTATTATTATTAACTACCCAAACTGTATTCATTACTGGTTAAAAAGATGTGCATGTCTACAAAATTTAAATTCTATAGGTTAGGAAATCTTATTTTCTGACTTACAATTGGTGTAAATTGAAGTAGCTAGCATTTTCCTTATTACGGTCTTGAGCTATAGATGAATACAAATAACCTTTATGCAGAGATATAGATACTCTTTTTTTTCTTATTTGGAGATTAGTAGAAAATATTTTAAAGTAAACTTTCTTGAATTTTTTAATTTACTTTTTATTTTCCTAGTTTTTGATTGAATTCTCTTAGCTTATAGGTGTTTCAGCAAATCCTTATTTATGTTATTGTAAATATGCAGCATGCCAAAGAAATGTTGACATTTGAATGTCTCCTTGTTCTCTTCTAGTAAAACAATTTGAAGAAATGAGTTCGTGTTGAGAGATGAGCATGAGAAACATACCCCGGGTAGCAGCCATCACCCAAGCACGTGTGCTAGGAAGAATAAACATAAACAGGCAGACAGTTGACAGGACTGTGAAAAAGCTGACAGATGTGTCCATACTTCTCTTTCTAGCCATGGTAACTTTCAGGTAGATTTTACTGCCCTCTGCTGGATGGGATCAGGTCTCTTCCAAATTGTCTCCAAACTAACCCGGGATTTAGTTACCAGCACCCAGTCTTTTAGAGTTGAGATGCTTGTGTTTGTCTCACTTATGTTATACGTAAGTACATTTAATTATATGTAACCAAATGATATTTTCAAAGTACACGCTAAGAATTACTACCCTGACTTTTAATTAGCTTTAGACATACATTCATTCAATTATCTAAATTCCTTAGTACTTACTGAAAAAAATATTAATGTGAAGTTTATTAATAATGTCTTAAACATACTCTTAAAAATCAAGAGTTACTACTGTTACGTAGTAGGTGAGCTGATAGGTATTTCTGCTAATAAACATAAGTTTCCCCCCATATTATTCTTTAGGTAGGCGAAAACAATTTAAAATTATTTAAAATCAAATTAATTAATAATAGTACTAATGCAGACTGTAGCATACAGAATTACTTCCATATGCTGGCTGGCCTATTACGGAACCAGTATTTCTTGCTTTTGCTAATAATAATTTTTGTTTAGTGAGTCATGCACAACATCACTGATATTTGCCCCATGAACACGAGAGGCATTTGCTAGCCAGTCAGGGATGTTGTTTTCCAAATCTAAATTTGGAATACCTATTCTTGATGAGGAATTTCTGAATAAAATGTGTTCTTCATTAGTAGAGTATTCAGTGGTGTTTTTGAAGTGGACAGAACTGGGTGAAATTAGAACAGCAATCGAGAGCTCTGGCCATCACAACTCTGAAGAAAAACTTCAACACCGATAAATCAGGGGTTAGCTTGGCACTGGCCCTTGCGTTAGAGCTGATTCCTAAGAACTGAGTGTTTCGTATTTTGCTGCCAAACAGACCAAGGCATTGCCTTTAACTCCTTTCAATATTTTTCTCTTCTCAAACCTCAAACACTTAGCCAAGGAAGACACATTTAGGCTCCAGATTTAACACAATTCTGCTAAGGAAGCCATTGCCTCAGCCACTGAGAATCGATGTCTTACTAAGGAAGGTGGGTGACGTGGAAGAGGGAGGCTGGGAAAGGCAGTTTGAGACTACAGAAGAAAGAGCTAACCAGGCTGTTACCTCCCATCCAGGGAAACCCAAAGAGTCTGTTGGTCAGATCCCATGCAAAGGTGCTTCATCTCCCATTGACGTTTCCCTGCTCACTTCACCGCATTGGAGTCCACATCCAGAGCCCCAGGGAGCTCATCCTACGCAGTGCTCTGAGGCTGTGGCACGAAATGGGCCCCATTCACTCTTTTCTATGTTGCCATTGTTGTTATGGGCAAGGAACCCAATCCACTTACCTAGTGAAGCGCGGCCTTACCGACATCACCCTCCACTACAATGCACTCATCCAGTCTGAGGTCACCTGCTGGGTGTCTCTTGACTGGCCTTAGTCTTAGTTCTGCTAGCTCTGCTGGTGTGTCCTAGCGTGTCCCCCACACCCGTGACCTCTGTTCTTCCAGCCTGATCTCCTGTCTACAGTCCCTCTCTTCCCACTACTTTCCCCGCAACGGACCCTCTTCCTGTTTTTGACTGCTTAGGTCTGTATCCTCGGGGTTTCACACAGGCAGAACTGAGCGCATAGTTAATGATAGGGTAGGAGACCCTTCGGTTAATAGAGAGTGGGCTGCTGGCCCCCAAGCTTCAAAGGCTAAAAGTAGAAACCAGTTTCACTCCTGTATTGGTCTGTTCTGACATAGCTAGATTGGGATACCCTCCCTCCCCAGATAGTTTTTAATTACATATAGTCTGTATTCTGTAATTACCTTTACTTCTTCAAAGCAATTTTATATCCTTTATTCTCCTGGTTTGGGATCTTAGTATGTTTTGAACAAATCAAGAGACTTCTTATTACTCCTCACAGCTGAGTGAATCCAGGCAAATGAGATTAAGAGTCTTTGTCTCTGTAACTGTGACAACAGAGTTCTGTGCAAGCTGGAGAACAAATCCTCTTTTTAAACTTCATGTGTGTGTGTAGCTCACTCTGCATCATACATGGATACAGATGTACGCACTACCGTGTGTGTATTATATGCGTACGTAGATGCATGTTTGAAAATACTTAATGAGAATGTAGCAGTCTGGAGAGGTGTTGTCTTTAGCCCCTGACAGCCATGTGCATGCTTTTCAGGCTTCTCAAAGGCTATGGTTCTAAAGGTTGTTTACTGCTTACTAATGAGAAAAGAAGACTTCTTGTGCTTAATTTACTTTGATAGATGCTTTTTCCAAGATCAGTCAAACCTGGCCCAGTGTTCCATGTGTCTCTGAGTGGGGAGGAGGAAGATAAAGGGTATAATTAATTATAAGACCCACATAAGATTCCCACGCTTAAGGAGCTGTCCATCCACTGGGAATTACCTCAAGCCCAAGGCTGGCAAGGGTTCCTGACCCTGACTGCCACGTCCTGCTCTACTGGAGTTCTGCTGCCTCTCTTTGCAGAAGGGAGGAACGTGTTTGGTGCTCTATATTAGGAACCACTGCGTCCTGTCTACTTGGCTACACCCATTTAGAACAATGGCCAGTGCATCTATTCCACACAGTCATCAGGCAATAGTTTGTCCCCGGAGAGACTTGTTACACAGTATGACTTGAAAGCTCTTTGTCATCACCCACACAGACTGGTGTGGTCTCGGGCACCAGGCCATGGCCATGTGAAAACATGAGGAGCGTGGAGCCAGTGCAGGAAGCATGTGCCCGCTGATGGCAGTGAAAACTTCGAGTCGGGCTAACCACAGGATAAACGGTTAGCTAGTCCAAGTTTCTCTCTGGCAACCTCCGCCTTATTTTGTTAGTCCCCTCTGTTTTCACGGGGTCGTTTTCCCATGCTCTCATATTCCCTGAACGCCCGCCGGTTTTGCGGTCCTGAGGCTCTGGACCACACGAAACTTCCAGCCATCAAAAACAGTTCTCATTTAGACTGGCAGGTTGAAATACCTCAGCGTGTTTAAGATTCCAGTTTAAGGAACTAAGATCTGAGATTGGTTCATTATGGCTGATCATCCTCCCTCCCTCCTTCCCTTCTATGTATTTTGATAGGGAAAAAATATTTTATGCAAAGCAAAAACTAACTATGACAAGGAGCTGATAAGAACACTTTTTGTTATACACGAAGCCCAGGAACTATCAGATGCCAGTGACTTAGGTTAATAAAGGTGTATTCTCATTCCAAGTGGAATTATTAGAATTCTCCAGATCCCAACACACTCACAAACCAGGCTGGAGAGTTTCTACTTCCTGCGCTTGCTACACCAAAGGGAAGAGAGCTCCCTGGGCTTCACCATGAGCCATCAGTGTGTGGGCTGGATGTGACCACTCTGAGGGGCCCTGGAGAGACTGCTGTCACAAGTGTTCATGTTTTGTGTTAATTATTACATAGCACTGATGCAGCACAGATGGGAAATAGTTGTTGACACTGTTTCCAGGTACTCTGATGTCTGTGGGAGTTACTTGGGGCTGACTAAGACTGAAAGAAATAACAAAGCCCATGAAAAGAAGCTCAAAGACCTCCAGACCCAATCAATCCAAGTATCTCTGGATGCTGAAAATAAGGAGAGTTGGAAGCCCTTTCACTGTGTCAGTGAAGAATAGAATTCCAGGATGGATCATTCATAGCCTAGTCAATTTCCTGGATATCATCTTCTGATGATTCATGAGCATAGATCCCTTTCTGCTGCTTAGCACACATATTAGCTCACGCATTTGTGGATTACCTGAGGTGTGGGCAGTCTGTGACACAAGCAGTTTTTGCAATCTTTGATGATGAGTTTGAACAGTAGTATTTGTGACAGGATCATCTTCTTTTTTGTTTTTCTGGTGGTGGTGGTAGAATGGTACTTTATTAAACTTGCATTTTAATAAGTGCAGCTTGTATATGTACAGCGCGGTGGGGTTGGGGATGCCATAAGAAGACAAAACGGTGAGGTATGATCTCCAAGCTGTTCTAACTACACTCCAGTTCCCTGAGCATCGCCCCCCACCCCAGCCAGGGGGGTGCGGGGGTTGAGATGAGTGTCCCTGCCTACTGTGGTCTCCACAGACTTGGCTGATGGTGAGAGTTACTCACCTTGTTAGTGTGTGTGTGTGTGTGTGTGTGTGTGTGTGTGTGTGTGTGTTTCTGATGTTCCAATGTATGGCAAGCATTTACAGACAGCTTGGCCCTTAACTCTACACTTCCACACTGTCTGTCCCTCTGAGCCTGTGACCTACCTGGTCAAAAGCTGGAAGAAGAACAGACTATTGGGGTTCACTGTCAGGTGGTATATTTAGCCCCAACATCACATACTTGTGATTGTGTGTTTTGCTAACCCTGGGACCTAATGTCCCATGTGGAAAGAAATGCCACAACGTGCTTGTTCTTTAGAAAGCTAGAAACCAGGTCGGGTGGTGGTGGTGGTGGTGGCGGTGGCGGCGGCGGCGGCGGCGGCGGCGGCGGCGGCGGCGCACGCCTTTAATTCCAGCACTCAGGAGGCAGAGGCAGGTGGATCTCTGAGTTCAAGCCCAGCCTGGTCTATAAAGGGAGTTCCAGGACAGCCAGGACTACACAGAGAAACCCTGTCTTGGGAAACCAAAGTGGGGAGGGTGGGGGAGAAGAAAAAGAAGAAGAAGAAGACAGAAAGCTAGAAACCAGTCGTGGAGAGGGCCTCACTTTCTACAGTTTCTGTGTGTCCCAGTCACTTTGCTCCTTCGGCTGATTCCCTATGTGGGTCTGGAATTCTGTAGAAGCCTGTATGCATACATACTGAGAGAAGACCTGGTTTCTCCTATGCCTTGTGTGCACAGGCAGCCTAACGGTTGTTCTCCATCTTTCCTCTAGAGTGCCTACCGCATGTTTACAAACAACACGTGTCTGAAGCACATGATCACCAAAGTCCGGCGGGACACCCACCACTTTGAACGCTATCAGCATAACAGGGACCTCGTGGGATTCCTGAACATGTTTGCGAACAAACAGCTGGAACTACCAAGGGGCTGGGAGATGAAACATGATCATCAGGGCAAGGTAACCTGACGGAGCTACCCTAGTGAGCAGCTGAGTGGCCGTGGCTGCACTTACGGCCTCCCTCTACCTTTGCGGTGAGGGCAAACTTTCTACCTGCTCGTTCAACACAAACCTGCACAGGCAGCTTGTTGCTACAGTCTCCAGATACCATATTTGGAAGTAGTATATGGCGCCAAGAGGCATGGGTTTGGTGGAAGCCACGTTTCCCTGGACATCCTTCTGTCTGTGCTCTGTTACCACTTCCCACTGACGAGAGAAAAGAACTCGGAGACGCTTGTTCTCCCGAGTGGTGTAAATTGTTGTAGACAGGAGAATAGGAAGTGGTTGTATTGCTTAGAGAGCGTATTAGGAATCACTGAGCCATTGTGCAAGACACTGGCGGAGTCTGAGCCTCAGTTATAGTTTAGAACCCTGGCCTGTTTGCACCTTGAACGACTCCCCTAGTTTATGATGAAAAGAAGCGCATAAAGACCAGAGTGAGGACATCTTTGCTTCCTGTGTAGATGGTGAACCAGAAAGCCCAGTTTTAATCAGGAAGTCGTACATGAGTGAGGAGTCAGAATGAGCAGGTTGGGTTTGTTAGAAGGTATTCCCTGGTGAATGCTTTATTTCTATTTGACATTGGCTTGACACCCACTGTGAACCATTGACTGTTTAAGGTCTTGACATATACATAGAGGCTTCTCACATCACAGTGAAGCACCGTTGTGGGTACCACCCCTTAAAGGTAAGGAATTCTGGAGCCAAAATGGCTCAGCAACCTGCCCTACATCACCAAGTCGGGCTATGGCTGACTGCTCTCTGACCGAGACCATCTTGATCTGTGAAGCCTGCTCTTGGCTGTGACATTGTATTTCCTAAATTTTGCATAACCAACCTCAGTTTCTCGGTCTATATGGAGTATTGGTGTGTAACATGTAGAAAGGAGGATTAAAGTGGCATGATATTTAAAGCACATAACCATTAGAGTCATTTTTGCAAAGCCAGTCTTCATGGCGCACCTATACAAAGCAGGTAAGCCTTTCACTTTAGAGGAATGCCATTCGAAGAAAAGAGACAGGCAAGAGGCAGATAAATAAACTGTCGAGAGGTGATTAATACCATATTGTAGACTGAAGCAGAGGGCAGAGTCTGTGGGAAGATAGGAATGGGCGGTGTTTTAATAGGTAGTTGGGGAAGTCTCCATGATAGAGAGGGAAGCATGACAGACATGAGGTGAACTATACAGGGGAAGAGCGTTCAAGGCAAATGGAACATGTGAAGTGTGTAGTACACACTGCTTTCCCTGAAGTGACCGCTAATACTGTGGAAACCTTTCCTCTTCTCAAATTCAGCTCCCAGAAATCTTATTAGAGAGCCCCTTGCAATCAAATGCAATCGAGGCATTTGTTTTAATGCGAGGAAGAACTCAAAGACTCATTAGACTACTGACTTGGTTTCTACAGGGATGTCTAATAAGTCTCTCGCTTCCAAGCAAGAGTTTAGTAGTGTGACGCATGAATTTAGAGGAGAGGAAGAGGATGGATTTGTGATTATGTCCCTGGACCACAGGTTAAATGGCAGTGAGTCAGAATCGTGACAGTGAGACTTGCCAGGCGACTAGGAAGACAGAAGAAGGGACACCAGGGCGGATATGAGATTGCTGTAGCTGAGACAACTTCACTCGATGGAAAGGATGCTCAGCAATGACTTAGACTGACCAAGACCCCATTGTTAGGTCCACGTGTGATGACTCACGTCTGTAATCTCATCACTGGCTAGGCTGAGCAGGATTGGCATGAGTTAGAGGCCAGCCTGGGCTACATAGTGAGTTCAAGACAAGCCTAGGATACATAGCAAGATAATGTCTCACAAAAAATGTAATGTTTAGTGAGCAATAGGTTTGGGTATGCAACGTCCTCCTCCCCCCAGACCCACTGGTGAGCAGGTGGATGACTCTCCTTTTGAATTGTGCCCATAGCAAGGACTTGCCACGGGGAGGTCCTCATCCACCTCAGGATATAGTTATTAACGTATCCTTCCTCCTAGCTCCCCTAGCAGAAGATCCCCTTGTAGCAGGAATCTTAGAGAGTCTTATTAATAAAACAAACCTGGAGCCAAGTATTGGGGTGAAGCTTGAAGATCAGAGAGACAGAACAAGCCACAGCTAACCTCACCTGGCCAACTTCTCAGCTGGTCTTGTTTCCTCAGACTGGAAGCCTCTGTGTCCTCATATCTGAATGGCTCTCAGCTGAACTATGCTACTAGAAGCCTGAAAGCTTAACCAGCCAAATGCTTCTAGTTTCTGGTCTTCACGCCTTATATACCTTTCTGCTTTCTACCACCACTCCCTGGGATTAAAGGCTCACTTTTTGGGATTAAAGGCATGTATCACCATGCCTGGTTGTTTCCAATGTGGCCTTGAACTCACAGAGATCCAGAGGGATTTCTACCTCTGGAGTGCTAGGATTAAAGGCGTGAGTGCCACCATTTTCTAGCCTTTGTATCTAGTGGCTGTTCTGTCTCTGACCCCAGATAAGTTTATTAGCGTGCACAGCATTTTGGGGAACACAATACCACCACATCCCCTCATGAGGTTTCTTCTATTTATGTCTGGGTCACTCGCCTGTATCCCAGTGCACGCACAAAGAAACTTCTCAAAACAAGTGAATGAATGAAACATCACCTGTGGTTTCCTACAGTCATCTTCACTTTGAATGAAGCAAGAAGCTTCCAGGCTCTCTTTCTATGCCCACCCCTCCATCTGCTCTCTTACTAGCTGGAGCTCTCTCTATTGGCCCCATCATCTCCCCCTTTATTTTGTATTTTATGTGTATGGTTGTTTTGCCTCAGTTACCTCTATACCACGTGCGTGAACTGCCCTTAGAGGTGAGAAGAGGGCCTCGGATCCCCTGGGATTGGAGTTGTTGAGTGTTGTGAGCTACCATGTGGGTGCTGGGAATTGAACCTGGGTCCCCTGGAAGAGCAGCCAATGCTCTTCACCTATGAGCCATCTCTCCAGCCTTTCATCTGAGCTCTTTTAATTAATCCATAGCTTGTCTTGGATTGCTTACATTACACGTTTGTGATGTGTGCTTTAGATGCTTTTAATTTTGGAAGAGATTTTCCTTTTTGGGTGGATGATTTTTAATTAGATGACTGTGAGATTTCACAGGAACATAGATCCAGTTTGCTTTGGGAGTTATAAGGTGAGAACGATTTGAAAGTCACACAGATGGAGGGACTAGCATAACACATTCATTTAAGATGAACAGGGCTGGAGAGATGGCTCAGTGGTTAAGAGCACTTGTTGCTCTTGCATAGGACCTGGGTTTCGTTTCTAGCACCCATTGAAGTTTGCAACACCATAGCCCGAGTTCCAGAGGAATCCAACACTCCCTTCTTACCTCCTCAGGTACCAGACTAATGCATGGTAAGCATACATACATACATGCAGGCAAAACACTCATATACATAAAATAAAATAAACAAATCAATAAATAATTTTAAAGATTAATAATCAAAGAGTAAGAATATCACATTAAATTTTGCACTTGGTGTGAGGAGAATGTAGAGGGGTTGGAGCCCTCAGATACTGCTGGTAGACGCATAAAATGGTCCATCAGCTTTGGAAGTAGACTGGGAATTTCTGAAAATATTAAGCAAGTAACTGTCATGTACTTTGACAGTTCTATATATACACCCAAGAGAAATATGCACCCAACATAAAATCCTGCATTTGAATGTTCATAGCTGTATTACTTATAAACCAGAAGTTAGATATAAGCCAAATGTGTATCAATAAATAAATAAAATGTGGTGAAAATTCCCATTTTAAAGCTCTTAGGTTGTATAGGTTTCTGCTTCCTTGACCTCTGAGGTTAGGTTACATGGTTCTAAACAGATTTAAAATCAATTATGTAGTGGTCTTGGTTTGTTTTTTTTTTTAAGTACTTTAATAAAATAAAGAGTGCCTGGTTTACACACAACAGAAATTTGTTCCTCACAGTTCTGGAGGCCGAGATGCTCAGGGTCAAGGTACTGGCAGGTCTTGTGTGTCCAGGGATGGCCTGCATTCTTCTAAGTGGTAAAAGTCATAGGTAGCTCTCTGGGGGCTTCTTTGAACAAGTACTGATCCCATTCATGAGGGTCCTGCTCTTATTGACTAATCCCCTTCCAAAGATGCTGTTTCCTCTGCCATCATTTCTGGGAAGTGCAGGTGGGGTGTGGGGGAGCATGTATAAACTAGAGTGCAAATGCTTTTCTTCCTGATCTTGATTTCATCTGGAGAGGTCTCTTGTTCAAAATTCGATTATGGTATTTGTTTTAGCTGTACTTCATTCTGTTATTTCCATAATGATTTGTGTTCCATAACTTTGAAGCTGACAATTAATCCAGGTTTAGTTTTATACACAATTGATCTTTCAAGACTCACTCTGTGATCAATTTCTGTATACATCTGTTGAATTTAGGACCCAGGATTTTCCCCTAGCACACAAACATATTCTCCCCCTAACCCACACTCTGGGCATTAAACCAGGGTCTTGTACATGTTGGGCAAACACTCTGTGACTGAGTACCTGCATCTACTTCTAGTTCTTTTTCTAATTTTTGAGACAAGGTCTCAAAAAGTTGATCAAGCTGACCTTGAGCTCACCCTTAGTCCAGTTAGGCCTTGACTTTGGAGTCTTCCTGCTTTAGGCTCCCAAGTGCTGGGTCTCCAAGAATGTGCCGTGGTCCCCAGTGCAAAGATCTCATTTTGAAGGAATCATAAACAAAGAAAAAGAATTATTATTAAAACACTTTTTTCTTGCTTCTTATAATAATAGTTTTTAAACTTTGGCACACTCAGGAATATTAAAATCAAGGGTAATTTGAGATCTGAGTAGCAGTGCTGATAAAGGTTTTATTATTTATGTGAGAAGAAATATTCATCAAATAGTATTAAAATATGACTTATTCAAAATATCTCTGGTTCTTGGCTGAGTTTAGTAATTAGTGAGAGCTCATGGCAATAGCAG